GGTGCCTTCAACTCGTCTGCTTTTCAGTCGTTCTGGCACAGAATGTTCCGGTGACCCAGATCGCACACATCACATAAACGCTTACGTCCAAAGTGCCTTTAACTCACAAAGACTATCATGCAAGAGGGAAAAAATAGACTCAGGAACGATTTTCTTCAACTCAACACGACATTCCTTGGTTTTTACACGCTATTTTATTTAGATTTGCATAAACACACTGCAGTATGAGCACTAATGTTAGCAGATGCAGCCGAGCACCAAGAATGTTACATGTTAGCATGTAGTCTGTTTTTACTTTCTCAATTATGGGTTCACTACATTCGTTACAACCAAATGATCAAGACAAAGCGCTGTTTTTACCTGCCTTTTCAACTTAGACATTGGCAAAATTGCTGCTTATATTAAAAATAATCATGTAGGGAGATCTGTGTGCTTTTATATTAGATATTTTTCAGTTTTGGGGCAAGTTCACACGTTCTTAGACTACCGTACTGTGTCTAGATTACGTCAACTATGCAGAAGACCCATGCTATGGTGGTCAGTATCTTTAAAACTGTAATGAAAATTAGTCTTGATATTGCATAAATGTCTCTAACTTGAATAATCCAGAGGATCCGAATTGTGAAATTATTTAAATAAATAAATGCAACAATGTTACAGTGTGTTTCTTAAGGGCAGAGTGAAAAATTGGCTGTTGTTCTAGTTTATGGCTCTTGGCGCACTGAACGTTTTGTCTGGCCATTGTTTTTATCAGTCCACAACAAAAGCAGTGATATATTACTGATAACAAAAGCGGCGTGTTTTTCATCTTGAGAAGTGGAGACTGATTTGTGTGAACCGTAGACTTTTTTTTTAATATATATATATATTTTTTAAATACTTTTTAAAATTAAAAATTTAATTTACTTTGTCACCTTTATTTATATAGCGCTTTTAACAATGCAGCAGATTGTGTCAAAGCAGCTTTACGGTATTAAATAGGAAAATAGTGTGTCAATAATGCAAAAGTGGTGGCCATATAATAACTTACTTTTCTTGCATAAAATAAGTTAAATGCATTTATGCATATATTAAAATCACTGTTGGCATAACTAAGAAAAAGATGAGTTATACAATATTTAAAAAATTAATAAAATGCTTATTTGTTGCATGTTTGGAGGCATATTATAAACAGTATTTTATGCCAACACGTTTATCAGAATAAACTCTTTCTTTCCTGTATGCAGTTTCATATGAGCCAGACATCAAAAGAATTGTAGACCGGTTGATCTATTATGGATCAGGGCTTTGTTCTGGCTCATGGATGGACGTCTAATTGCAGGCTCATAAACACATTGTTATTCAGTAACAGGCCTGACAGGAGTGGGAATGTGTTTACGCTGAAGGGGTCAGCTTGACTTTATTAGTCCATTATATAAAAAAAGTGTTTTTTATTCATTTAACATTTGCACAAACAAATATCAGAATTTATCATTAAAAAAAAAGGACAAATCTATTATTAGTAGCCATGGAAATGCAGTTTTAACATGGTTTTAGCATGTTTTACTGACAGAAACATTGTGTTTTAGATGGTATAACAAAAGCTGCACAACAATAATGCGAGTAATTTCACAGCATTAATTTTTTTTAAATAGTGCATGAAATGCGTTAATAAAAATAGCTGCCTTTTATGCTACATTTTAGAACTGGATTACATTATTTGGATTCTTCTTAAAATGTAGAATCAGTTTGCTGCAGTTGGACAGGCAGGAGCCAAACACACAAAGAATCCCTCAGAGTTATTCTGTTGAAGGAATATTGAAATAATTATATATATATAATGTTGATGCCTTATGTTAAACTGCTTTAAATTACTTTTTTTCCAACTCAATCTACACTCCATACACCATATTGACAAAGCAAAAACAGAATAGTCACAACTTCGTAAATTAATAAAAAAATTAAAAAAACTGAAATAAGTACATTGCATTAACTAAATATTTAGCTGAAGCACCTTTACAGCCTCAAGTCTTTTTTGTTTGATGCGGAAAAGCTTTTCTCATCATAATTTGGCAATTATCTGTCATAGAATTGAGGTTCATCAGACCAGAGAATACCATTTCTCACAGTCTGAGGGTCCTTTAGGTGCTTTTTTTGCAAATTCTAAGCGTGTTTTCATGTGTCTACACTGAAGAGAGGATTAAGTCTTGCCACACTGCCATAAAGCCCAAATCGATGGAGTGTTGCAGTGATGATTGTCTTTCTGTAGGTTTCATTCTGATGAACATATTTCAAAGACTGGTCCACTCGTTAATGCAGAAGCTTTTAACAAAATTAAAAGTCTAAAAAAGAAGGGGGCTAATACAACCAAAAAGCATTTTTTTGTAATTAAATTAAATACTAAATTTAGAAATGTACTATAGAATTTTTTTTCCTTGAGAATATTATTTATTTTAATGACTTTTCAGATCTGCTATTCCCTGATATCCCCATGTTTTTCCATGATCATGAGAACCCTGAGTTCAGTAACTAACTTTGCACTTTACACTCTTAAAAATAAAGATTCCAAACCAGGGTTTTCGCAGCGATGCCATAGAAGAACCATTTTTGGTTCCTCAAGCTTTTAGCGAACAGTTAAAACAAAAAAAAAAAGGGTGAAGAACATTTTAATAATCTAAAGAAACGTTTCCTAATATAAAGAACCTTTTGTGGAATGAAAAGATTCCAAAGTTCTTCATGGAACCATAGAAGCCAATAAAGAACCTTTATTTAGACTCAGATTCTAAATAACAACTCTGCAGGACACCGGCCCTCCAGGACCGAGTTTGGGCACCCCTGATCTAGACAGATTAACTTGACATCTCCAGCTTCAGTGGTACCTGATTTGCAGGTTCCCTTGCGTTGTGCTTCTGGGTTTCCACCTGTTTCTTCTGGGTAAATGCAAACCAGCCCTTCATCGCATTTCCCCAGGTAGTCCCAGGTGCCTCCACAGCGTTCTCCCGCGAGTTTAGCACAGGCTGGACAACAACCGCAGATCCCAGTGGTGATTCCACCCTGACACTGGAGTTTCAGCGCTCGACGAGGGGAACAATGGATGCGTTCACAGGGCGGACAGTGCAAGGCTTGGAGGATCTGCTGGCCCTCCAAGGTGGACATCTCCACAACCATTACTGGCCACAAAATCACCAAGATTGAGAAGACGCATGGACTCATGGTTGGACTTCACGTTACTGAGATGGGTCGCCTTTTATATAACAGTCCTCACAACCGAGACCACATTTTACATCCACTCACACTCAAATCATTCAACTTCACAGCAACAAACCTCCTCCCTTCTTCACAACCAATGGATGATGGAGTGTTACGTTTGTTGAGTCTGGATTTGCAGTTAATTATCTCCAAGTCTTATCTTTACTATCACTTTGTTGTTTTCTTTTTGTCTGAAAACCAATAAGTTGGACCAAGTGAAGACTGGACCCTTTGTGCACAGGTCACATGACCAGTAGCAGGGAGTGCAATTCACGGTGTGATCGAGATAATCAGCCATGAGCAACAAGGACAAGATTAGGACACTGGCAGGTTATCTGAGAAGAATTGTGTGCGACTTTTTCATAAGCTGGTACGCAATAAAACGCTGCTTTCAGTCTGGATTATAGTTTTCAGAACAGAACGGTTCTTCAAACAGTCTCAAAGGTCATACCCTTGACCGCTTTATCCTTAATGAACGTCTACTGTAGATAAAATATTAGATGATAAAAAATTTTTTTTTTTTTTACATTATTTTTTCTGGTTAAATGAATGCAAAGTACAATAAAAGAGGACCATATTTACCTTCTTAATACAAATTCCTAGTCTTATTGTGAATTATGTATCAGTGATAAATTCTTGCAAAGAATAAGAGTCAATGAAATGGACTTATACATATACATACACAGGTAAAAAGGTAAAAAATGTCAGGATGGTACAACTGTCCTAATGTAACGAATAAAACATTTTTTGGAAAAAAAAAAAAAAAATCAAGAAAAAACATTCTTGGAAAAAAAACATTTAAAATAGATCTTTGATTATTATTTAAATATTTTAAGTAAGGAAAATTTTTGTTTTTGTGACAGTTTATAATAGTAAAAATGTCACTTTTTGCATCGCCTCCAATATGCCTTTGCATTTTGGCTAATTTCACCAAGCTCTCTTATTTTTGAACCACGTGTCATAAACAGACTACTGTTTTTCATGATTCAATAAATGTTAAATTAAGGAAATAAACGTGGTCAAACTCTTTTATTTTGACTTTGAAGTCACGGAAGTAGCCACAGATCTTTTCTTCCATATTGTGAAGCATATCTTAGGGCAGTGGTTCCCAATCCTGGTCCTGGAGAACCCCCAACACTGCACATTTTAGATGTCTCCCTATTCAAACACACCTGTTTCAACTCATCAGCTCATTAGTGAAGACTCCAAGACAGGGGTGCCCAAACTCAGTCCTGGAGGGCCGCTGTCCTGCAGAGTTTAGCTCCAACCCTAATCAAACACACCTGAACCAGCTAATCAAGGTCTTACTAGGCATACTAGAAACTTCCAGGCAGGTGTGTTGAGGCAAGTTGGAGCAAAACTCTACAGGACATCGGCCCTCCAGGACCGAGTTTGGACACCCCTGCTCCAAGACCTCAAATGTGAGCGTCAGATAAGAGAGACACCAAAAACGTGCAGTGTTGGGGGTTCTCCGGGATCAGGATTGGGAACCACTGTCTTAGGGTAATGGATAATGAAAAATGAAAGGTGAGGACTTGATTCTATTTTTTGGTTGTTGATTTGATTTTGAGATGTGAGCTTGCGGTCGATTGTGGGCAGGGTTTAAAACAGGATTTTGTGGTTCTGTGATGCAGAACTGAATGCAAAATCAAGCAAACTCCACATTATTTGCAGCAGATAGCATTTTTGTCTTTTTTAACAATTTTTCTGACAAAAAATCAGGGTGAAAAGATTTGCGGTAATAGTTGTTTCTTTACACGGACTGTTTAATGCTGCTCAGAGGTGGCATAAATGCATTTACACAGCATCTGTGATTGTATACTTTGATACCATGGAATAAGGTCAAAGCAGGCATAATTTATTCTGGCTTTTATGCAGCATTGTCTTTACTGCGAAACAACAGGAAAAAATGCCACAAATATCACTGTAATTTGTTTTAGAAAAGCCGTAGCAAATTCAGTCATTTTAGGCCACAAAAAAATCATGAAAAAAAAGTCTCACGAAATCCTGGTGGGACTGTTTAAGTCAACTAAATGACTGAAGAAGTCCAGCATGTCACCAGAGAGAGAAGTCTGTAGTAAAAAAAAACGACATATGGATGAATCGTCCACGATAAGATCTGTAACATGAAAAAACATTTTTGAATTTTTCCCAAAATTCTGTCATTTACTCAACCTCAAGTTGACGGTAGCCATTGAGTTCCATTGTATGGAGAGAAAAAAAAATACTATAGAAGCCAATGGTTTCCGTCAACTCTTTGGTTACACACATTCTTCAAAATATCTTCTTTTGTACTCAACAGAAGAAACTCATACAGGTTTGGAACAACTTAAGGGTGACTAAATGATTATTTTCATTTTTGGGTGAACTGTCCCTTTAAATCAGATCGACAGTATTCCATTCTGTCAATTAACACAATTATAATTCATTCGTCAGCTAAGATAAAAAAACAATATAAAAAGCAAAAGACAAACAATGGATTTTAGCAACTTTTATTAAATTAGATCTTTATAAAACAGTGCAGTCCTATCACCGGCTTTGCTGATCGCAAGTCTCTTTGAAGCATGACTATCAGTGTAAGTTGTCGAGAAAATGGAAAGCCAAACGACCCTACGTCACATTCAGTCCCTTATACATCAGCAGATCGCATGTGAGATCACACTCATTCACTGCTGGCATGATTGAGGTTAAATGAGTAACTGCATAATGTGCTGCATTGAAAACATGAGTTATATTTGTAAAAATGCACAGATTTCGCTCTGCAAAAATTGAGGTAATCCTAATAACTCTGCAATGTATCTTTAAAACGGTTCATTTAGAGCAGGGGTGCCCAAACTCAGTCCTGGAGGGTCGGTGTCCTGCAGAGTTTAGCTCCAACTTGCCTCAACACACCTGCTGGTAAGTTTCTAGTATGCCTATAAGAGCTTGATTAGCTGGTTCAGGTGTGTTTGATTGGGGTTGGAGCTAAACTCTGCAGGACACCGGCCCTCCAGGACCGAGTTTGGGCACCCCTGATTTAGAGTGATACTTTTGGTCATAGACTTTTCATGAAATGCATTACGAGCTACAAACATAAAGGTGTTATTTTCAATACTTCAGTACTCTACACTATAGATTTACTTATCTAAACAAATGAGCTCGCTATCATCTACGAACAAAAAATGAAATGTCTGATTGAAGACATGATTCATAAACCATGTGACTGCCATATCACCACTTCAGGTTGTACAGATTGAGTTATTCGGCCTGGTTGCAAAAGGATACCAGCCAAAGCGGATCCAACGACAGATCAATCCGGACTGAAATTTGCATAGAATGTCATTTATTTCCAAGAAATAGCAGTTACCGAACAATAACACTCTTTGTTGCCTGGACCGTGACGATTAATCGATACTGCAGATTCACATTTGTGAGAAGGACCCTGTTTTATCGGGTTTATTATACCGACAAACATTGAGCTAAGTTCACAGACTAGAGAAAAATACCGCAGTGAACTGATTCTCTGCATGAACCTCTTTGAGGGGAGAGTGTGCATTGTGTGGGATGGCGTTCAGAGTTTTCTAGCATGGTTCTGGTACTGGGCCTGACTGTGGGGTAAGGTCATGCTGTTAAGGTGTGTGGTTCAGCAATCAGCAAACGCTAGCAATGGGTTAAGCCTTGGTCACATAAAATCCTCGTAGTCTTGTGCATAACCGCCGCCGAACTCCCCGTAGTCTGCAAGATCATCTTTCATTGTGGCTTTTAAACCTCCTCCTGGTAAAACTCCCTTCTTTTTCTTTTTACCTTTGTTTGCCTATTGAATAAAAAGAAAATGATATTTAGGACCAAAAAAATTAAATTAAATAATGGTGCATATGGTATGGTATATAGGAGTGAACAAAACAGGAGAATTTTACATTAAAAAAATAAAACATTGCAAAAAAGCTAGTAATTGTTTGCTATTGAAAGAATGTTTTACCCAAAAAATTGCATTTGCTAAAAAAAAAAAAATTTATTCATCCTCAGGCCACCCAAGATGTAGATGAGTTTAGAACAGATTTGGAGAAATGTAGCATTCCATCACTTGCTCAGCAATGGATCCTCTGCAGTGAATGGGTGCCGTCAGAACGAGAGCCCAAACAGCTGATAAAAACATCACAATAATCCACAAGTAATCCACACCACTCCAGTCCATCAGTTAACATCTTGTGAAGAGAAAAGGTGCATGTTTATAAAAAAACGTATCAGTTATTAAGGCGTTTTTAACTTTTAAACTGATGCTTCCGGTTAAAATACGAGTCTATAATTAATAATAATGCTTCCTCCAGTGAGAAAGTCCATCCCCTGTTGTTTTCTCACAAACAAAATCCACCCACATATTTGTTTAGAGCTGTTTTTGCTTGTAAACGGTGCTTGATATGTGCATATTTCTGGAAAAAGGAACAACACGGAGCACTTATATTTTAGCCAGAAGCTAAAAACATCATGATGAATGTTTCGTACAAACACAAAGCTTTTGGCTTCACAAAATGTTAACTGATGGACTGGAGTGGTGTGGATTACTTGTGGATTATTGTGATGTTTTTATCAGCTGTTTGGACTCTCATTCTGACGGCACCCATTCACTGCAGAGCATCCATTGCTGAGCAAGTGATGAAATGCTAAATATTACCAAATCTGTTCAGATGAAGAAACCAACTCATCTACATTTTAGATGCCCAAAGGATGAGTACATTTTCTGCCAATTAAAATTTTCGGGTGAACTATCCCTAGAAATTAATTTCATACCTTTTCTTGCCTCTGCTTTTCACTTAGTAACACTGTTAGTGAGTTGCTAATTTTCTTCAAGTCCTCAACTTCCACTGCAAAACGGATACAAAATGTCAAAGTAATACATAAATCACATAGTGAATGACAGAACAGAACTTTAAAAAATGAAATAAACTTACATGAAAGACACAGGTCCCTAAACAGTGTCTCTAAAAAGCTGGAATAATGTATTGACTTCTCATAGGAAGAAATTTTTTCTTTTAGCAACCGCTCAAACTCTGTGAAGTCTTCTTTTGTAGAGGGACTCATCGCATCAATTCCTGTAACATTATTTGATACTACACCTACAAATGAGAATAAAAGTGAATGATTTGGGCCTATAATGGGCAAAAACATGGATATGGATGAACAGAAAGCACTTACCGAATGCTTCTTTTGCTAGTTCCAAGTCTGAATCCTCCTGTAGTTTTTTCACTCTAAGTTTTTCTGCCAGCTCTTCTTCTGGTATGAGTTCTGTGCTGCTTTCTGACTCCTGTAACTATTTAAACAAATTAGAGCTATGCTTAGTGAAAGTCTTGTTATATCCTTTAATCACAATTATACTACTATTAAATAAAAAAAAAAAAGAATTGTACTTGCCTCAAACTTTTGAACGGTAGTGTATATAAAAAAAGAAAAAAATATGAGTTACAAAATACTGTAAATAAAACG